TGACAGGGCTGAGGGGTGTGTGGGGTATGGGGGTTCTGACAGGGGTGAGGGGTGTGTGGGGTGTGGGGGGTCTGACAGGGCTGAGGGGTGTGTGGGGTGTGTGTGGTCTGACAGGGCTGAGGGGTGTATGGGGTGTGACAGGTCTGAGGGGTGTGTGGGGTTACAAGGATGGTGAAGGGTGTGAGGCATGTGTGGGGTGTGAGGAGGGGTCTGAGGGGTGTGTGGGATACAAGCAGGGTGAGGGTGTGCGGGGGGTGTGGGGTGTATGAGGTCTGAGGGGTGTGTGGGCTGAGAAGTGTGTTTGCGCTGTGAGGGGTATCTGGGGTGTCCGCGCTGTTCGGCTGCGGACGTGGAGGGGGCTGAGGGGCAGCCGGCGCGGCCAGCCGCGGGCTGCTGAGGGTCTTGAGGGTGCGAGGGGACCGAGCGGAGCGTGAGGGCGCGGATCCGGGGCTCGGGGAGCAGCCGCGGGGCACGGGGCGGGCCCGCGGGCGGGCTCGGGGGTGGGGGCTGGAGGGGCCGCGGCTGCGGAGGGGCAGCGCAGGCCCGCCGAGGCCGAGGGCGGTGCCGGGGGCGGTGCTCGCTGTCCCGGCGCTGCCGAGTGTCCCGGTGTCGCTCGGCGCCGCCGGGAGCGCCAGGAGCGGCGGCTCCGTCCCGTCCGCCCGCAGCGGAGCCGAGCGCGCCGGGAACGGCGCTGCCGCCTCGCCGCCGACAGCGCGGTAAAGTATTTGAACTAATTCTCGCAGCCTTCAGCTCGTGCTCGTGGTGTTTGCGTGTCGCTGTGTGTGTGCTCCTCCGTGCCGAGAACTTTGCGGTCCCTGCAGTTTCCCGGCTGCGCTCGGGGAGCCCTTTAGAGCCGCCAGGTTGCGAGTTGTGCTGGAAACTTTGGGGTGGTGGTGGTGCAGCAGTTTTGGCAGCGTTGGAATGGTAATTTTTGTAAATCAGTAGTGACTCGTACGTGGTAAATTTGAAGTAGCAAAACAAGTTTTTATTACCCTGAGTGAATTTGCCAGGTTTAATGTGTGTATGAAGAATCATAAAAATACCGAAGTGCTCATGCTCTTTGAGTGTGAAAGCTTTTTTTCCGGGATGAGAATCAATGACAATTTCACTGGAATGATTCTAGACTCTCTAAACACAACTGTGAGAGCTTGTTTAACTGTGAGGGTGCTGAGGCTCGGAGGGCAGGAGATCTGGCTCTCTCATTAAACAGGTGAGGAATACTTTGCAAAGACTCCTTCATTCATATCATGCATTCATGACACTGTTGCCTGTGTTTATTTGTTATAACGTCGATGGGCTCTTTCCCCCTCAGTGCTGTGATTAGACTATTAGATTCAGAACCAGGTTTTCATACTATGAGGTGCCTGGTGCTATTTTGTCTCAGAGTACTTTCCAGGACAATATTGCTGTTTGAAAACAAAGCTAAGCACTTTCTAAGCAGCACTGTGCAGGAATATTATTTGTACAAGAATAAGAGGGATTTGTGGGTGATTTGACAGACCAGCCTATGATTCAGTGTCACACACTGAGTTCTCTAAGTTCCTCATTCCTCAAACTGCTTTAAAGCTTGAAGCTGCTTTCAAAGTTTGCCTTCACAGGTGAGAGGCACCTGTGTCAGTCCCGATGGCTTAGGAACTCTTGGAGTGCCTCTGACAGGCAGTTAATTCCATTTAGGAATGCTGTGAAGTCCCAATCTGTTCAGCACTGATCTGCGATGAATTATCCAATGAATTGCTGTTTTAGGGGATCTGCTTGGCCGGGGGTCTTTCACTTCAAGACACCCAGCTGTGGGGTTTCTGGAGCAGGCTGTAGCCAGTCCAGGTGTGATATGATTAACAGGTGAAGCTGTGGCTGTCACCCAGCACTCGGGAGTGTGTTCTGCACTGTGCTGTTCCAGTTGTGCACCTGTAACACTTTCTTTTGGAGGTGCAGCATCTGATTCCGGGCTTTTTCTGTGTTTCTCTCCCCCATTTCATGAATCTTCACTTTTCTCTGCACAGAAACATCTCAGGCTTTCTCCAGGCAAGTTCATACCTGCCAGCCCCTTTTACTCCTAACTTTCCAACTTCAGCTATTGTCTTAGGTCAGCCTTGCCCCCTCAGACCAGCAGTCCTGCAGAAGTTGGCAGAAACAGCGAATTTCAGCAACAGGAGGGGTTAGAGGAGATGTCACAGCAGCAGCCTCACCCTCAGCCCTGACCTGCTGCACCACTTCAGGTAGCAATATTCTCTCTCCATGCCTGTTTAATATTTAATGTTCTTTTGGCCATAAAAGGTATTTCTGCAGATGGAAAGGCTTGTGTAATAAAAGCTGTATGCCATCACGTCAGCAAAGTGAGCAGTTAAGTACCAGAGGAGCTTTAGATAAATAGGAAAGAAATGTAAAATCACCAACAACTTCCAGGTAGGTCAAAACCAGGGGAGGACACAACCAGAATTCTAACATGTGTGTTATCTACCAGGTATTTCTTTGCAGTTTCCCTCTGGAAACCTAAATGCACAAATTGATTGGATACATTTATAAAAGATTTACAATAATCATGAATACATTACTTGCCAAAAGTACATATACAAATCATAACAATGATTTGCACTTCAGTGAAAGCTGAGATAGACAGTACTGAGTTCTGTACTTTTATTATAATGGAGTGATTCCCTACAGTAATTTCAATGCAATTACCTTTTAAAAATGTTTTATCAAGACAGAGGGGTGAAAAAAACAAGCCACCAGTCAAAGTCAGATTTCCTCCCCAGATTTGCAGGTAGTAAATCTGACTCTCATTTTTGTTTGCTTGTTGGGCTTTTGGAACAAAGTATGTTGAGATTATGCTTCAAATTTGGTATTCAGAGTAAAACAGAATAAAATTGCTGCTTTTCAGGTACTCACCAGAACATTACTAGTGTGTTTTCACTGATGAATAAAAATTATTAATGAATTGCCTTTATAGTTAAACCAGTGAAGCATTTTTATTTCTCTAGAAACACATTGTAAATAAATTAATGCAATCATTTAATGCATATCTAATCTTGTATTGGAACAATATTGCTCTGCCAGTCATTAAAAACTGATATTTTTTTTTTCTCTAAAGGTTTTCCCTGCACACAGGTAAGCAAGCACAAAGAAGACAAAGAAGTTTCAGTTGTGTGTCTGCAGGTATACACTCTTATATGACTGTATGTTGTTATTAATGTTAATTAAGCTCTTAATTTTTGTTGTGAAACCTCCTGATTCTGTTTGATGTTGTCAAATGTTTCTTTTGTTGTAGGGCTGATACTGCTCAGGCAGAGGACTGTGTATAGGACAGTCAAAAAGTAAGAAGGTGACAGCCATGCTTTCATCTTAAATAAATACTATCATTACATTGAAGGGGCTTTTTTAACTTGTTAGCACATTTGTTGCAAGTCTAAAGGGTGGGAAAACCTCTCTCCTTTTCTCCCCTTCACACTTCTTTCACAAAACACGAGGGCGTTTCCAGGAGCAGTTAGCGCAGTTAAACCCTCTGTTGTTTTCCCCCCCATTTCCTTCCCTTCCCGCGGGGCACCCGTGTGTTCTGGGGGGCAGCGCGGTGTGGCAGTGAGGCCAGGGCAGGTGACAGCAGCACGATGGAGGCAGTGGACGTGCCGCCCGAGGGCTACTCGCTGATCAAGGCCGTGTACCAGCGGCGGCTGCGGCTGACGCGGCTGCTGATCGACGGCGGGGCCTACGTCAACGAGAGCAACAGCCGCGGCGAGACCCCGCTCATGGTGGCCTGCATGACCCCCCACGCCGACCTGCAGAGCGCCAGCAAGGCCAGGATGGTCAAGTACCTGCTGGACAACAAGGCTGACCCCAACATCCAGGACAAGTCGGGGAAGACGGCGCTGATGCACGCCTGCCTGGAGAAGGCGGGCCCCGAGGTGGTGTCGCTGCTGCTGCTGAGCGGGGCTGACCCCAGCCTGCCCGACCACTCCAACTGCTCTGCGCTGGTCTACGCCATCAACGCCGCCGACAGAGACACCCTGGAGCTGCTGCTGAAGGCCTGCAAGGCGCGGGGGAAAGAGGTGATCATCATCACCACAGACAAGTCCGCCTCAGGGAGGCAGAAAACAAAGCAGTACCTGAACGTGCCTCCCCCAGACCTCGAGGAGTGCACCTCCCCGGCTGACTGCAGCTCCCCGTCAGAGGTAGAGCCCAACGAGGGTCCGGAAGACCCATTCAGCTTTAAAGAGCTGTATGGTGGGCAGCCGGGGGACAACTCCTCTGAAAGGGTGCCACTAATGAGCAAACCCAGCTCCACACCAGCACGGTTCAAGCTGACGCAGGTGCTGCAGTGTGATCCGTGGCTGAAGTGCTGTCCAGCAGTGTTTCAGCAGAGGAAAATTCCTTCTCCTCAAGAGCTTCAGAGTATCAGTCCCATGGAAGAGCTCTCCTGTAAAGTCAGTGACCTTGACTTATGCAAGAGTGTCAGTCACGAAAGCAGAGACAGGAAGGGCACTGGTCAGGTAGTGAGAACCTCCGACCACACCATGTCAAGGAAAGCACTACGTGATGCAATAAACTATCAGACTCCTTTTGTTGAAGAGAAGCATAACCCCAGTGAGATTCCCATGGGCATGGATGCCAGTTTGGGACAGATCAGCTTACTTTCAAACCTTGGCAGTATTATCAAGAAAGGAAGTGGAGAACCCAACTACAACATCTCCAGTTCTCAGTTAGCCAACACTCTAATTCCTGCTGCTGATACCAAAGGTAGTAAGTCACCAAAAGGAAATAAAGAGATTCTTCCTACATACCAGACTTTGTTACCAAGTCCGAGAAGAGTTCTGGAGATGTCTCCTCTTTCTCCAAGAGGCAGAAGTCAGGCTCCTCTAGAGGAAGAGAGCTCAGGAGCCCTAGTGTTGGATCAGACGAGGCCAGGCTTTCTGCCTCCACTGAATGTGAGCCCCCGCCCCCCCGTCCCAGAGCTCACTGTCATAAACACAGTTTCTGGAATGATTTCTTACGGACAAACTCACTTAGTGCCCCCAGGATCTGCCTGCCCTAAGGGGACCAAAGAGACGAATCTGCTGCGGCGCAGGCCGTATGAGCAGATCACAGTCTGAGCAGATTCAGCAGTTGCTGCACCTTTACCAGGAGAGCAAAGGGGATCTTTATGACATGTAAATATTCACTGCAGTCCTTGACTGTAATGGTACGTATCACAAAGTAGAGCAGGTCTGTGATGTAAAGTAATGTCTGCCTCAGGATGAGTGCTGCAGCTCAGAAACTAAACGAAAAGACATCGAATGAGGCTGCCTTCTGCAGAATAAGCAGTGTTTATTTTGCTGGTCTTGTAAAGTTTTCAACTTGCCTCTGGCAGGCAACCCTCAACAGTCCATAAGCATTGCAGTTCTCATTGTAGGTTGTACATACTACCCCTGCAAGCTGTCCCCAAGCACACGCCCTTGCAGCGCCCAGAGCGGTGCTGCACACGGACTCTGGGACCCCGCGGCGTGTGGCTGCGATGCTGGACAGCGGACTGCCTGTGTCCAGGCTGTATATAGGAACCGCAGCGACCCCGGCGTGTGGCGGGGTGGGCGGCAGCAGGCGCTCGCCGGCGGTGTCTGCCGGCCTCAGCAGCCTGGCGGACACGTCAGAGCTGGTGACACTGCTGTCGCCGGGCTGTGCAGCCCGCAGAACCGCGGCTGCGGGCTGGCAGCCTTCCCCGGAGCCGCGGTGGCAGCACCGCCGCGCTGCCCGGAGCCCGCAGGGCGAGTGTGACCTGCCCGGGGTGTGCCACAAGCCAGCCCCGCTCAGGCTGTCCCCGGGCAGCCTCCGGAATCCGCTCCCTTGGGAGAAGCGAGGGTGCGGGGGCAGAGCCTCACCTGGAGCGGGCTCTGCAGCCTCCTGCAGCTCTGGAGCCCCCAGAGAGAGACCTGGCCCCAGTGACAACCGGGGTGCGACACCGGGACACACCCAGGGCGTCTGCACCAGCAGGGGCACGGCACACACACACATTTGGGAGCAGGGAAGAGCTCTGTCCTCCCGCTCAGACAAACCCGAAAAGGGAAGGTGAGGCCCTGGCACAGCTTCCCCAGAGAAGCTGTGGCTGCCCCATCCCTGGGGGTGCTCCAGGGGCTTGGAGCCACCTGGCCTGGTGGAAGGTGTCCCTGCCATGGCAGGGACCTTGGAATGAGATGGCCTTTTATTTCAGATGGTTTCCAACCAAACCCTGTGAGTCTAATTATGGAACTCACCTGGGAGATGGAAACCCGCATTTTGTCTCGTTGGAAACAGAGGGCAGAATTTCCCACAAGTGGAATGCCATCCTCTGCAGCCTCCGAGCTGCTGTGTGTTTTTAAGTATCTCTATCTAAAAATCTTTCTTTCCTTCAGTGTCTTGTGATTCCAAGTATCTCCCTTGTCTTTGTGTGCATCCCATAGATGCTGGATCTCTGGTATTGCATTTAGCATTTAGATCTCATCTTCTAAATTATGAGAAAAAGTGAATGTGTTCTATTTTGTTGTAATTTACAGAAATTAGTGGTACTGGAATTGTGTCTGTGTGATGTGAATTTCAGTATACTGAAAAGAGGTATTTATTTCCTGAAAATACTCAGTGGGTATGTTGCAGCTTCAGTCAAAGTTCACCATATCTGACATTGCCTGGAAAAAGCCTGTAATGTTATGTAGCTTTGCACTTAGTAGGAGACAATTTAACGGGGATCTTAAGTATAAAACAGTGCTAAGGGGATCTTAAGCATAAACCAATCTGGAGAGGATCGGAGACATAAAACAATTTGAAGGGGATCACAAACATAAAAATATTTAATGGGGATCATCACCATAAAACAATTTAATGGGGATTCTAAACATTGAACCATTTAAAGGGGATTACAAACACGTACTCTCTGTAAATAACTTTTTGAGAGTATTTGTTTCCATTCAGGTTCTGCCTTTTCCTTCAGGAGATTTTCCTGGATCAGGCCCTGTGCACACCAGGTAAAAAAAAAAAAAAGAATTATGTGGACATATTTTTATGATCCAGAAATTACGTGGAACAAAAAATGCCAGTATTAACTGAATACAAATTAGTCCCTACACAGAATACACTTTCCAAATGTTTTGATGATAATACAAAAGGAAATGGCAAGTTCTCATCTGTTCATCTCACCATGAAGTTAAACATTTGAAGGGGAAAATACATCTTTAAAAGAAAATTTCTTTATTAGAAGAAATTGACGATCACCAAGTGTTCTAACTGGTATATTTGCTGAGGGTATAAAGCCCCATTTATGCTGTTTTGATTTGAAAATTAATGATCTATATGGGACTAAGGCTCCCTTAAATGAAACCATAATTTTTCTATGAAGTGCTCAGACATTGGAGGGAAGTAGCAAGCGTCTTGAAAAGGGCAGTTTTTTGGTAGTGTTACCAGTACTTTGTGATTAATTGTGATGCAAAGTAGTGTGAAGTGTTCCTGTTATTGCTTGTGTTACTGTTACAAGTGACCTTCAAAGGAAGAAGCTTTGTTCTCTTGCTGTTGTTACGCTGAATAAATAAAAGTTATTTTTTCCCCCCTCAGAGGGAACATGGAAATAAGCACATGCTTTTATTCACTACTCAGGAAATGATGAGTCATTGCAAAAGGTACTCACTCACAAGTGTTTCTCAGGCTGCCTCTGTACAAGAAAATGGGAACAGTTACTTCGATTTAATCCAATGCAGCTAAATTTGTCCAGAGTGTGGTGCGAGAGAGGCTCTTCCCACCCGCCGGAAGCTTCCTGTGCCTCCACTTGTGGAGCAGAGATGCACTTGCGTTGTCTCCGAAGCCTTCATCCATGACATTTCCCAGCCACCCCGGTGTTCCGTTCAGCACAGCGCGGTCAGCCCGACCCGAGCGCCTGGCGGTGACTCCTGGGTTAAAAACAAGCCCTTTTGGTCGCCCCGGCTGCCAGGTGACACCGCGGTGACAGCGCGCTGAGCGGCAGCCGGGGCGGAAGGGATTTCCAACCCACCTGCCTGCCGGGGACAGGTGGGAAACAATTCGGGATTTTTCCTTCTCGCCCTCGTTTTCTCTGCTGTGAAACCACACAATGAAAGGAACTCCAAAACAAATCACAAAAAGCTGTGATTACATAAGAATTCCCATTATTTTGGTTTAACAGATTTAAGAACAGCCAGTCGCTACGCAAAAATGTCATAAACTAGCAGTTTTCAAGGTTGTGTTTAAGGTGCAATGCTCAAAATATAGGCTTCAACATATCGTTCCCTGCACATTTAATTTAGTTTTGCTTTTAAGAAGTAATTGCTTTGTTTTGATCTTTGTCTTTTACAACTACATGGCACTTCCAAAAGAATATTGCCACAATTTGATGCAGCTATAAAAGAAAAACAGTAAACTAAGTAGGCACTAAATTTCCTTTTTTTCTCCTCATCAATCCCATGTCAGACCTTCATCTCTCTGCGTGCCACATACAGCAGAACTAATTACTTTCCCAACCAAAGCAAGGGATTTATAGACAAAGATTCTTACATTTTCCCTGTAAGGTATTAGTGCAGTAACTTCAAGGAAATCAGGTTTCATAGCGAAGCACCTTAGGAAAGCTCAGAGGGGTTTTTTCAGAGTCAAAGGGATAACATTCCAACTGTCATCACTAAATATTCCCGTAAAACACCCAGCTGCCAGCCCTCTGGGAAAGACAACAGGTTTTCACTCCTGCACACAAGCTGACCTTTATTGTAAAAAGCTCCCAACATACAGATACATATACAGACACATATATATGTATATGTGTAAATATGCACAATTCCTGTTTCTCAGCAGCTCCTGTCACCCGAGCCAGGCATGTCCTGGGCTGATGACGCAGGCAGCTGCAGAGCTCGTGTTAATCCAGGGGTTTTGTCCCCAAAATTATGTCCAGCGAGTTAAAAATTATGCTGGGATCTCATGGTGGACATCAGAGATATTGTTTGGAAATATACAGGGAGGTATTTATTCTCAAGTTCCTGAAGCCTAGACACAGAGGCACGCTAAGAAACTGCAGTAAATTCCTGCATTTTTAACCCGAAAGCATCAGCAACTTTGATCACTTTCATGTGAGTTTTGCAGAGGGAGGGAGTTCAGCCTGCCGTCTCTCAAGAACGTGCTGATTTTTAAATAAAAACCTGACCTGTACATATATTTTAAAACCACATTAATGTCTCACTGCCAGCCCCACAGCAACACATTTTATTTCAGGAGAGCATGTGAATAAACACAGAGAAGCAAAATCAAATTAATTTATTTATGTGCAAGTCAGACTAGACTGTCATAAACAACTTCACAGGGGACTAGCAAAGATACACAGGTAAAAGTACTTACAGAAATTCATATATATAGATTCATCCACACAGATTACTCATATTCACCACACAGCCATTTCCTGGGAATCCAGATGATGTCTTCTTTAATGTTACCTGATTATCCTGTTTACTGACATCCACAGATGTACTTCTTCCTTAAAAATACTTCTCCAATTGCTGATGTTTTTTACTTATTAGTTTAATGAGGTGTTGTACCAAATCCCAGTACTTCAGGTGGGAACTGGTCAGTGGGAGGATTCCTAAACAGCAGGGAAATGTGTCCCTGTGGTCCCCAGGAGGCCACCCACTGAGAGATGAAATCCTGCAAATCAATGAATGCAACTGCCTGCCACAAACCACAGGTGAGAAATTAATCCTTCTCCAAACTCACCGTGGAAAGCACACAGCCAAGCCTGACCCTTTGGTGGTGACTGGCACTCACTTTGTGAGTGATTAAATTAAATCAAGTACTCTGTTTAGCTATCCCAAAATCAGGTCTTCTTTATGTGGAAAAATTTCCTAATTTTAGTCAAGCACACCTCAGTAGATGGCCAAAATGAAGAAAGCTCTGCCCCTCAATAACAGAAAACACCTATTAGATAAATCTCTCAAATGAGTTGTGGGTAACAAAAAGAAGTCTTGAATTTTAATGTGAGATCACGATAATTCAAGATTTAGCATTAAGAAATGTAGCTACCTTTTCTATCACAGCTGTATCAACGCCATGTAAGAGCCAAAAATTACTGTAACTTACTTTAGTACTAACAGCTTGTAAAATGTGTACACTGTCTGTTAGGTATGTAAGAGCCAAAAATTACTGTAACTTACTTTAGTAGTAACAGCTTGTAAAATGTTGTGTACACTGTCTGTTAGGGTAACAGATGAGTTAATAAAATTCCCACAGGAATCATGTGACGGGAAAAGGAGGACAAGAAGTTGACAAAGTAATGCTTCTCAAGGCATGAGCTGTGATTCAGAAGCTGAAATGTCCTCTGTGATTGTGGAAGAAACCTTTGGTTTTTCTGGTATCCTTTGTGGTGTTTGGCAGAAGCCGATCCCACAGGGCCGGTGTCTCAGTCTGTGTGAATTCTGGGGAATTGCAGCAGCAAAAGAGGCAATAAATGATTTCAACGAACCAGGTCAGGGTCTTCCTGCAGGTGTTACAGCAGGGGTTTGGCTTTTACTGCAGGACGTTTCCACTGTGAGGATTCTGAGAGCTGCAGGGCTGCACAGAGAGCCACGGGGAACGTCCCTACAGCCCTGGGGAATGTCCCTGCAGCCCCAGGGACAGCCCTGGGGAATGTCCCTGCAGGGGACAGCCCTGGGGAATGTCCCTGCAGCCCTGGGGAATGTCCCTGCAGCTCTGGGGACAGCCCTGGGGAATGTCCCTGCAGCTCTGGGGACAGCCTGGGGGAATGTCCCTGCAGCCCTGGGGACAGCCCTGGGGAATGTCCCCACACCTGGGGACAGCCCAGGTGTGGGGACAGCCCTGCTGGGGACAGCTGAGCCTGGGGACAGTGCTGCCACTGCTGCCACAGCCAGCCCAGCCGGCAGCACCAGCCAGGGCTGCTCCCTGGCCATGGCACAGTGAGCACGGGCAGAGCAGCTGGCAGTGCCACCCTCCCCTCCTGGAGGGTGGCACCGCGGGTCAGGGACAAGGAGGAGGGCACTGCATTTCTGCCTGAGAGGGCTCCCTACACAGACACTGCCTGGCTTTGAACAAAAACATCCTCACGTTTACAGGGGCTCACAGCAAAAGCACTACAGAGTCAGGCACTGCCTGCTTTGCATTTGCTACTCTATTCCTATGGCTTTTTTGAATTCAGAATTTTGTGGCTCAAAAATGTCATAATAAACCCTACTTTTATCAAATTTGTCTCGGATGAGAAGCAAGTCTTCTAGAGAATACATGTCCTCCTTTCCTGTCCAAACAGTGAGGCTGTACCTATGTCCAAACAAACACAACAAAGAGAAAACAAGTATGTTAGGATAAAGCACGTAAACCAGAAAGACATTGCACTAATAGACTCCTAAAAGTACTCAGGATTACAGCATCCTAACTTTAGAAACGGAATTAAATACAAACAACTGCACCCCCAGACCAATTTATCTGTGACTGTTCTGCCAAACCTCAGAGGGATTTAAATAAAAAACCTCAGGTAAATATCCAGCACAGAAATTTACCAGAAAAAGCATGTAAGTTTTGATAAATTAATCAGTCACAAACTGAGCCTCAAAACAGGAAATATGATGCAATCCCAGATACAGGTGATTGTTGCTCTGTGCTTTGTCACATCAGCGATGTGTAGAGATGCCACCTAACCCAATTCTCATTAATTGCACAGAACTTCTCAAAAAACACTGAAATCCACCAAAGCTAATGCTTAAAAAATAGCTAATGCTAATCAGTTAAAGCATTACTTCCACATCCTCCACATGACTTATATATTTAGGTTTTCCCCTTTGTTTAATAAAACTGTATTCATTTTAGAAATTCATAAATCCGATTTCAGCTATATGTGAGCAAAACTGGCTCAGGAATGTCTGCCTTCTAATGGCACTGAAGAACCCCCTTGATTTTTATGAGGTAAAAGAGGAAATCCGAATATTTCAGTGACAATAATGTTTGTATCCAATGATATTTGAGATTGACACAATTCATACGATACATTCTTAATGCAATAATATTTTTAAATAATTTTCCCAGTTTTAACAGCTTAATTCTAATTTCTGTCTTCAGTCTTCATCAGAAAACATTAGTATTAGCACTTTATTTGCCCACCCTGTTGTTCTGAATAATTAGAAATTTTTCAGAGATTCCCTTAAGTTTTCTGTAATGGGCTTTGACCTTGGCTGGAACAGTTTTATTAAAGCCTGGGTAGGAAAAGCAGTTGAAAAAGATGAGTAAATAAATGGCAATATGTGGGAAGCTGGTTTTATTCTCATTCTATTACATGTGAATAATTTTTATAATTGAATGGTTAGGGATTGGTAAGAATGATTTCTAAAGGAAAATACAAGTTCCTGTATGAAAACCACTGAATACATTTCAAGTGCCTCAGCAAAATTAATTAGCTTGGAGGGAAACACCTGATTTCCAATCTAAAAATCATTGCTGACATTTTTAAAAAATGCCATAAAATAATATAAATAGTGAATCCAATACAAAGCCTTTGGATTGCATGACTTCCCAATTGCAACATCAAACTATTTAGTCTATTTAACCACATTCATCTGGTTTGCAGCAGAACTGGGCAACACACCTACGCACCATTTAAAAAAGTCCTCATAGCAGGCAATGAAAAATAAGCTTCTGGAACTTAACTACTTTACAGAAATTAATAGTGACCACTTCTGCCTGAGGACTCAAAGACTTTGAGGCCTGTGGGAAATGAAACACTGGGAGAAGAATAATTTCTACATTTGCAGTGCCACTGGGCCGTGTGTGACGGGCGAGGGGCTGGCACTGGCTCTGCTGGCCCTGGGAGCTCAGGGACACTCTGGGAGCAGCACTGACCTGTGGCACTGCTGCAGCAGCCACTGCAGCTGCGGGACGGAGCCGGGCACCAGCGCAGCCCTGACCGCGAACGTCACCGGCTGGGACAGCGGCTGGCACAGCCGCCACATCTCCTGCACCGCCGGCCACTCGTAGCCTGGGGACACACGGGACACTGACAGGGGGCACAGAGAGCCCCTGGGGACACTCAGAGTCCTGGGGACACTCAGGACACTGAGAGCCCCTGGGGACACTCAGAGCCCTGGGGACACTTGGGACACTGCAATCCCAGATACAGGTGATTGTACTGAGAGCCCCTGGGGACACTCAGGACACTGAGAGCCCTGGGGACACTTGGGGCACTCAGAGCCCTGGGGGACACTCAGAGCCCTGGGGACACTCAGGACACCGACAGCCCCTGGGGACACTTGGGGCACTCTGAGCTCATACAGCCCTGGGGACACTTGGGGCACTCAGAGCCCTGGGGGACACTGGGGCACTCAGAGCCCTGGGGACACTCAGAGCCCTGGGGACACACAGGACACTCAGAGCCCCTGGGGACACTCAGGACACTGAGAGCCCTGGGGACACTTGGGGCACTCAGAGCCCTGGGGACACTCAGAGCCCTGGGGACACTCAGAGCTCACACAGACACTGGGGACAGACACAGCACCCTGTCCCTGGGGTCCCTCTGGAGACACAAAACCTGCACATCCAGCTTTCCTGAACAGCAGGCACTTCCACCATGGAACTGCTCCGTGGCTGTGAGCAACAGATGTCCCAGAGCAGAAATGCAATAAATGCAATATCAACGTGGACAATGAACTTGCTGTGAAAACCTTTACTTCCAATACTTAACATGCATGCTTACTTACTTTACATACACTACAGAATGTGGCATTTTTAATGTATCTTTGTCCTTTCTCTAAAAACCTCTGCTGCCACTGACTTCACTATGGCCTAGTTTAACACTGTCAGGGTCCCTTTACAATAAAAACATTAAGAAAATATTAGGACAAAAAGTTAAATTAATCCACTAGCAATGAAGACATAGAAAATCAAAAACACATGGCCAAAACCATTCTGTGCCTAAGAATGCTACAATCAAGCAACCTAAAATACTGGAAGTGCCTTTGCTAATTTTACAAGGACTGGAACTATTTCAAATTATATTTACCTGTTCTTTTGTTTCTACAGGATATGAAAATCCTGTAACAGCAGTTAATAACTTTTTCCTCAATTTCTCAGACAGAATGTGGTGACTAGAAAGAGTAAAATTGCACTAAATATTAAAAGAAGTTTTCTGGGGCAAGCAGCAACTTTTAGGTGGAATCACTCAAATGACCTGGTTTTCTTACATTTTACAGCAGAACCTCACACAGTATTTCCATAAAGAAATTTAGAATGGGAGATAAAATGAAATTTGTTTTCACAGGTTTGCCAGTATTTCTAATGCATTTTCCAGCATTTTTTTTCCTGCACTGAAAATACTTGGGAGAAAGCACTGAAAACTGTAATAATACTGCAGTATATCACACAGCAAAATACTAAATCTTGCTAATAAGGAGCAATGAGAATGGTGCAAAATGCTGCCATGGTGGCCTCAGACAATATTGGAGGGGACTCTGCTTCTCATCATGAGAATTGCAAGAGAAAGCTTGTGAAAAAGACCCTATAATAATGAAAATTCGAAAGTTTACTGCAAAACATTCAAGTTTCCCAGAGAAATGAAGTATTAGGGATAAGGCTGACCCAAAACTTGATTTCAGTGACACATTTTCAGGTGATCTGTTTCTCCTCAGGACAGATGCCAGGGCTCTGACCAGACCAATGCTCCCAGGATTCAGGGACAGCCCTCCCTCAAACACAGGCTAAGGAGTTTGTCCCTCAGAAGTGCTCAGCAGTGAAAAGGAGTTGAAGCACAAACCAGCCTATTTCAGGAACAGAAAGATGTGATTTTCACCCAGTTGTACTGGCACTGCAGCACTGGCCTGAGTGCTGCACAGCACTCTGTCCAACACTGTGGGGGATAGAATACAAGAAAATAAAGACATTTATGTCACAAAAGACCCCAGATGGGACAGGGTTCCACAGTCACACAATCACTACCAGGACACGTCCTGGGGCTGCTGCCAGCTGCACACACACGGCAAGCAAAGGAGCGCTGCCCTTACCTTGCCCTCGGTGGCAGCCTGTGGTCCAGCCCAGGGACAGGGTGGCCTCGGGGCAGGAGGAGGTGACAGCGGCCAGGAAGGCGCGGGCGTCCAGCGGCGCGCAGCTCCCGCAGGGCCCAGGCAGGATGTCCCCGTTCAGCCACACGGGTCTGTGCAGCGCCTGCCCCAGCTGCCCCAGCAGCTCCAGAGAGGGTCCCACGGCGGCCAGGCTGTGCCGGGATGCAGGGCAGGGTGAGGGCCGGCAGTGTCACCGCGGTGTCACCGCACCCCGCTGCCATCCGCTGACTGCCCCTGCAGCAGTGAAACCCCGGGCTGCCAGCCCTGCTCCCAGCACCTCCTGGCCTCACCTCTCTGTTATGAATAAAAATATACCTATTTTTGTTTAAGGTTACAGAGAAAAAAAAACCGGTGGGACCAGTTGCTGTTAAATTAGCTTAATTGTAAAGAGTTCTTTAATTGCCCATCAATGGTTGGTGATTTAGCCATTGTCCTCCCAATGCTTGCCCCGGAGCTACACCTGGACACGCAGCCCAGGAGAATAGGAGTGGCCTGGGACCACGTACGCAAATGAGAAATGCACCGCGCCAAAATTTTCCCGTTTTCCTAGAAAACCCCTAAAAACAACGAGCCAACACAGAATTAGGGGACCCTAAGTGATGTCTAAGGACGGGCGTGAAGTCCAGTGCCTGCTTGGATCCTTTTTGCTTCACACCCTGACCCCAAGAGATGTTCCATAAGGAGGGGACCCGAAGTGTTGGACTGAAAAACAGGAATCTGCCAATCTCCCGTGAGGACGCAGTCCCCAGCTCTGCCTGCAGACCAGCGGACAGAGCTGCATCACCCTCCTCCTCCTTGCCACTCTTGGGGACAGCGGCGGCGTGGGCGCGACCCGTCGGTTTCTCCCCAGCTGAGCTGAATCTCTTTAATAAAGGCATTGAAAAGGAGAAAGATCTCCTGCCCTATTTATGTCAGGCAGCACCCCCGGGCTTGCCACCTCTCCATCTCAGGCCTCAGGAGGGCTCTAACAAGGGAAGCCACTGCTCTAACACCTGTGTGTCACCAGACCTGAAAGCCACAAAGGCTGTAAGTTCAGTCCACAGTGAAAGCCATCTCTCCCCACCTTAACCACGCTCCAAGGGGTAAGAGTTTAGCACTATGTCACATCCAGACTCAGAGCTACCTTCAGAGCCACGCAAGGTGATGCACCTGTACTAGGAGAACAAAAAGCCCAACACAGACCAATTTAAGGCAACTGAAGGAGAGAAAAGGCACCCACTTGAACATTTAATGCCTGGTTGTGGTTTGTCCCGCAGCTCCCAAGTGTGGCAGCACACAGAAGCCTGCCTTTCCAATGATCATCCAACACATGATTATTAAATTGTTAAACATAAACTGTTATGATCATTAATCATAATTTAATGATTATTAAACTGTCTGTTAAACAGACAATTCAATAATCATCTGTCGGATGATCACTGGACAGGCTGGCATCACTTGAGGAAACAGTGCAGACAATCTGAGAGCATTTAAAAAAAACCATGGTCACATATTCACACTGTCCTGTCCAGCCACAAGAAGAAGCACAATTAGCTTTTCCCTACTTCTACCCTACCAAAACTTTTGAAGCACTGTGGAAGGAAAGGAGATGGTTAACAGTGGGGAAAAGAAATGAACACCAAGAAAAATCCTCTTTCTGTCACAGCCCATTAATTAATGCACTATGTAACACTGAGGAATTTAAAATCACTGTGGTCAGAGTTTTAGAATTAGCTTAGTTCTACACCCAACAACCCGCCCCCTGAGCTGCTTGTCTTGTTTCCTCTGTACAGTCACTTTGTGTATTCTGTCTTTTGTGGCTGCAGAGAGCAGGAATTCCACTCACTCGGGCTCTGTAGGAGCAAAGCCAGTGATTGCTGGTGTTAAGGAGTGGGCTGCAGCATTTCTGACAGCCTGGGGCCAGAACACTTGCTATCCTCACATATGCAAGGGACTGTCAGGCCCGGAGGAATGCCTCCCCTCTCAAAGGGTAAGGCAATGCAGTGAGAAAAAAGCACAAAGCAAATGGCAACACTGGGTTAAAAAAAAATTTAAAAAAAAAAGGAAAAAAACAAAGCAAAACAATAAAGAAATCCACTCCCAAAAAACTGCAAACCCCAGACCACTGGTTTTGTTGCACAGCATTTAGAAAACCCAGACTTACTGCTGACTTTCTGTGAAATGACTTTGGCATTTCTGAAGTGGGACACTGAAGACCTTTTGCAGAATACATTAATTTCAGCAGCCAAAGCCAGCAGGAAATGTAATTATGTGGTCAATCGGGCTGAGACAGCAGAGATATAAAAAGTATATTTTTGAGGCACCACTGAAATTATCTCCACAACTTCAACAATGGCATCCAATTAAATATTATGCAAAGGAACATCAAATTCTGTTATCACTTATTTGACTCTATCTGCATCGTGTGATGCACTTTTAAATGTTTTTATACAATCATACTTTTATAATGCCACGTACTTTTAAAAATTTTCTTGATTCACTCCACTTGGCTGTAAACTCCTTGTGGAAAAAGGAAAGGTAGGTAGTTTAAAATTAATTTAAACAATACATGAAATGGAGGAAAAACTTCACCAAAATTCACAAGAAATAAGCCCAAAAAAATGCCTACTGCTTTTTTTCCCCTTCTCTGCCCAGAAGGACACACACAGATCCTGTGACAATAACAGGATTTAGCCTGCCCACGTTTTTTACTTTTATGAACTTTCACATGAAAACGGTGACACAGAACCACAGGAATAAATCCCATTTTACAACTGTCTCCTGCGGGGTTTTGCATTTCTATGGAGTACCTCAGCACTGATGAAGCTCTTTCTAATTTGCTGCCAAAACAGACTGAGCACATGGAAATTCAGACAAACCAAAAGTCAGGAGCTGAAGGGGTGCATGTCTGGAAATCAGAGCTCATTTCAAACTCTTCCAAGGCAATCTCAGGCGTGTTTGCCATTCGAGAAATGAAAAAGTAATGGCTCAAACTGTGAGGGAACCTCTGAACATTTAGTTAGCAAGGCAGAGAAAGGAGCCTTCCAGAGAGGCACCAGCACTTCAGCTTCCCAATGGAAAAGTTCTGCTCACAGTGCCTAATTCACTGAGTTAAAAAAATCATTACTTGCAGCTCAAAACACTTCTAAAGGTTTTGCTCTTGCCATGCTTTGAGAATTATGGCCTGTTTCCACATGGATTATGCTTCTGAATGCTAAACTGCACAACAAGGAGGAGTTTGGCTGACAATCACCTGCAGACCTGTAAGAGGTAAGAATGCAAACAACACAACCATCTTTCTGTCAAGATACCTCTTGAAGTCGAGCTTGACGCCTTTATCGGTGCTGCCCATCTGTGCCAGCCACTCCTGCAGGGTGATGTCGCTGTCGGTGTCAGGGGGGTGAGCCAGGATGGGCTCCCTGTCCCCTCCCCGAAGCACAACATCCACCTCCACCATGTGCACGTCGCCTGGGGACGGAGAAATTAAACCTCAGTCAGCTCCCAGTGCCCCGGGGCAACAACCAGCCAGCCCCTGCAGCCTCGTGCTGTCTGTGACACAAAAGATGCCCTGCCGGGGGGGATCCAGGCACTGAACTCTTTGCAAGCCTACAAACAAGTGAAAAGTGGTGCTTGAGGGTGCATTTGGCCAAGAAACCACGTGGGAACGGATAAATGGGCATCCAACATGTGAATCCACTCTTGTGAAGTTTCAGGTATTTTCCCTCTGGAAACAGGGTGCTTGAGAGAGGGAAGATGAGTGCAGGATTGAATACTGGCAGAGACTGAGCATTCCCCTTGACTCATTGCCAAAACCGACAAGGAAAATGTTAGCTGGCACACACGACAGGCAAAGAGGGGTCTCAGGAGTGCTCAGACTCCTGAAAACAGCTTTATGTGATGAACTTGGGCAGTGCTGCCAGCTTTGCAGAGAACCCAATACACACAGTGAAATATGAAAAAAACCAGTTAGTGATGGTATTCAGGATAAAGCATATTATATATACATTTACACAACTATGCGTTTGTCAAATATTCACATAAATTTACATACAATTCACTGCCACCCAGGCTGCTCCACCAGGACCCTTCTGGCTCTGCACAACCTTTCCCTGCCAGGAGGAGACACACAGGGGAGATTTGGGCTCTTCTTCCAAGGACTGGGACAGGAGGAGAGGGAACGGCCTCAGGCCGGGCCAGGGCAGGCTCAAGGTGGGCACAGCAGGAATTTCCCCATGGAAAGGGCTCAGGGATTGGAATTGCCCAAGGGGGGTTTGGAGTGCCCATCCCCGGAGGGATTTAACAGCCGCGGGGATCCTGGAGGAGGGAGAGGAACAGGAGGAAGAGGGGGAAGAGGAAGGGGCCTGTGCCGCACTCACTTCGCGCGGCCTCCGCCGCCCGGGCCCTGCTGTTGGCGGCGTGGAACCAGCGCACGGCGGCCCCGTCCCGGGCCGCGATGTGCCCGCTGCGCAGGAAGTGATCCACGGGCCACTCGCTCCAGGCGCCTGCGGGGACACGGAGGGGACATGGGGGGGAGCCCTCAGCGCGGCCCGCCCGCCCGAGACCGGCCCGGCCCGGCCCCGAGACCGCCCTGACAGCCCCGGCCCGACCCTCACAGCCCCGGCCCGGTTCACCCCGCGCCCCGCTCGCCATGGCCCGGCCCCGGCCCGGTCCCGCCCCGCCGGGGGCTGGATGCCGCCGCCTTCGCGCCGGGCGGGGCCGGGCCGTGCTGGTGCACGGTGGGGAGTGTGTTAGGATGGTCCCGAGCAGGAACATCTGTCTCTGTGTGCTGTGGAGCCTCACCAGCAGGGCCCGAGGCGCGGACAGGGAGCGGCTGCAGCCCGCGGACACGGACAGCCGGGGCTCCGAACGCCGTGGCACTGGAGGCAGTCAAATCGAGAGAACGCAGTCCTGAGCCGGGCCAGGGCAGGCTCAGGGTGGGCACAGCAGGAATTTCCCCATGGAAAGGGGGCTCAGGTCTGGCACTGCCCAGGGGGGTCTGGAGTGCCCATCCCTGGAGGTGGCACTCAGAGCCCTGGGCTGGGGACAGCGTGGGGATGGGGCACAGCTGGGACTGGATGGGCTGGGAGGGATTTTCCAACCGCATTAATTCTGTGGCTTTGTGTGAGAAATCAGGATGTTGGCGCAAGCCCTGCATGCCTGGCAGCCTCGTGGAGATGCTGAGGGCAGCAGCAGACCCAGCCCTGCAGGCACACAGCCCCGGCTCTGTCTTTGTGCCAGGAACGCCAGTGAGGGCAGGGAGAGGGCAGGGCTGGGCTGGAGCGGCTGCCTCCGGTGTCCTCTGCAGGGTGTCACTGCTGGCTGCTGCTCGCTGAGGAATGAATCCCATTTTTGGGGCAACATCAGGAGTCCCAGAAGCTGCAGAGACAGGACACACACATTCCAAATCTGTCTCTGTTTCATTACAAGTAAGAGGCGGAAGGTTGCAAGCACTGTAGTTAACTTTATTGATCATTACTGCAAAGGAGTTAGTAGAGGTTAAGTGCCAAGAGGCAGCTGTTCCTTCAGGTGCCCTGACCCTGTCACAGACCCAAAACACTCTTCAGCCTCGTGCTCAGATCCCTCAAGGGCCTGGGTGCAGCTTGTTTTCAACAAGGACACGTTTTTGTTCATACTGGGCGTGGGTTCAGCCCTTCTCCTTCTCAGAAGTCAGCACAGAGGCTGAAATGCAGCTCAGCTCCATCCAGGGTAAGATCTCAACGCCTGAACCCTTCCAGGACTGGAGTGTTAAAGCACAGATAACAGCAGAGCAGATTAGGTTAAATTACAAATTGTTTTTGATACAAAAACATAAAATATCCCCTATTATCATCAAGAAGGCATCCAAGTTTTAATACTCTCATTATAAAATTGTACCAGCATTTTTACTGAAAACAATATAGATCTTGTATATACTTAGTTTTGGTTCTGTTCTCCACAAGCAGTTGTGTGGCTGCTACCAAACCCCAACTGCAGTTTGATGAACCTCAGTACAAATCACATGCATCACAAATACATAAATAGATCTAAATGACCCAGTATAAAAAATACATCCTATGCAAGAACCTCAGGTATACTAAAAATCCTAGAACTGTTTGGGTTGGAAGGGACTTTAAAGAGTCCCAACCCCACCTGCCACAGGCAGGGACACCTTCCACTAGAATCAACCTGTTTGTGAAAATCCAGACTTAATACATCTGTTCTCCCTGAAAACAAAGGTGGCTACTAAATTGTGGCAAAAGCAGTAGACAGGAGCAGAAAAAATACTGCAGAATTCTTGTCTGAGTTATTGCTACATGTAGATTACATCAAGGGTAATCTGTTTTTTCCTAATCCTTGAAAGGTCAAATTGTGTATGGAATTCTGAACAGAGTAAAGAAAAAAAAGCACGTTTTATAAAAATAGCATCCATTTAAGTTAGACAAATCCTTATAAATACAAGAAAGAAAACAGTTACTCTATAAAACATTGAGAGCATATGTTCCTGAAGCACCAGCATCACATCCCCAGGTTAAGGCCCTCAGTGAGGTGTCCATCCACTCAGTTTTGGGCAGCCCTGCTCCAGTGCTCAGCTCCTGCAGAGCTCACACGGGACCCCAGCAGCTTTAGCAGCACACTGGTGTGAGGGCAAGAGGCAAATGCTGTGACTTGGAGTCACACTGCACCTGCAAGTGCTGCCACTGTGTGAGAGTAACAGAACCTGCACTCTTCTGCACCTGTGTTAAGTGTCAACCTTCAGAACTTCATGACACAGACTAAGTGTTTTGTGGTAGAGGAAGCAGAGAGGATCTGAGGGGCTTTAAGAAAACATTTTGAAAAGCTTTTGAAACATAAAAGGTTTAGAAACTTTAACATTTCTAGTGTTTGTAGCATTACAACTTTGGTGTTCAGATCTAGCAAGTCAGTATGTAATCAGCCTCATCAAGACAGGTGTTCTATGATGAAAAACACTAATTCCATTTTCAGTGGCAGAGCTGTAGGATCTGACATTCCACTGTGAATCACAGGAATCAGAGCACTGTCCAAGTCGTTCAGGTAGCTCTGTGGAAGAAGGAGCCCTCCCGATCCTGCTAAGTATTCAACCTAGGAGGGAAACATACTGATATTAATTAACACTGCTTGCATTAACAAGACTATGCAAAACGTGCTGTATAACAGTAAAAGAATATTTCAGCTTTCAGTGGGAAATTAATGACTAAGACAGCTTCTTCCCCACATGTCATCCTCAGCCTGGATCGTGGGTAGGACAAAACTCTGAACATTCCTGGAGAGAGCCAAGGTATTTACAAGGCAAGGTACCTTCAGTGGAAATGGAGAGTGTGCAATAAAAGCTGAAAGCTTACCATGTCTGAGTCAATGGAAACTCTGAGTCCTATCTTATTCATCCCGTTATTTTTCAAGGTTTTCAGGTGAGGGCAAAGAGCAGTGCTGCAGGCAATGGCAATCTCTTTTGCAAACTGGTGAGGAACAGCACTGGAGAGTTCATGATCCTTTACAAAATGGTACACCTGAGATCAGAGAAAGGGAAGGGCAGTCAGCAGCCTGCTACATCCCAAAGTTAGGAACAAGGGTAGTTCAGGAGCACGTAACACCAAACAGAGGAAGGTTTGATGCTTGTCTGCTGGCAAAGCACCTGAGCATTGAATCCACACAATCAAAACACTTCAGGAACCATGGGAATGCCTGCATTAGGCATTCACAGAGCTGTCACTGCCAACAGCCTTGAGTCTTTTCCAGAGGAGAGAAATGACAAGTGTGTAAACTCACCAAGCAGCTGCAGAGAACACTCTGCCTGGCAGGATGGCTACACATAAAATCAGCTCATTTTAACAGGATCACTTACTACCATCACATTACCACTTAAACATTCAAAAATTAATTAAGGAGGCTCAAGAACTATGTAATTCACTAACTTCAGTGCACTTCATAGCTTTTCCCTCTCTTTCGAAGCCTCTGTATAGTGGTGCTTTTTCACTCAGAGTTCCTTCCATTGATTTTCCATCAACTGGGCTTAAAATTCTACAAAAAACAACAGTGTGATCAGTAATTTAAACAACACTTATAGTATAGATACAGTAACTTCTATGAAACAATATTTACCCATCCTTTAAGGCTATTTAAACACCTTTACAACAAAGTACAATACAGGACTTGCACTATGAAAATACAGATGGTACAAAAGGAAATATCCTAAACAGGGAACTAACAGCATTAACAGAAACCTAATCTTGCAGGTGTAAGACACTACATACCATCTTTGGTATCAAGCACTTTCTGTCACAAGAATACATCAGACTAATTTCAAAAAACTGAAGGGAGATATTTGAACACTGAGAGCAAAACATCTCTCAGATGTCTGGCTTTGGTAGCCCTTTGTTGGTTTTCTCTTCATTTTCCACCCAGCAAATATCTACATATTCTTTCGCATCCCCTGCATCCACTTGTCCACAGGTTATTTTGAAGTCTTTCTTGTCTCTTAATGCCTGACGTAGACTTTCCATTGTTTCTCGTGTTATTTGTACCATTAGCCCATCTAGAGGAAAAACAGTTAAAATTCCACTTTATCCACACAAAAAGCAGCACAGCTTCTTATAGAATCTTGGCTTAAATTCTACTGAGACCAACCATCTCCTACAGCTAATTAATAAATGCACAAAAGTACTCCAGGCCCCACCTACAGCACTAAATGTTAAATGAAAGAGGAGGAAAACCTATTTTGTCAACAGAACTCAAACTCAAAGATAACTTTTAAGTTAATTTTTGAAATTTTTTTGCATATATGTGCCAATACATGTATTTCAGCAGTATGGCAATGAAAATACTTCCACAAAGGAAAGACCTGCACTGATTAAACAGAGTTTAAATCTGAATGTTTTAAAACAAGTAGGTGACCTATCATGTATTTTTATGCAGCATTTCTTTGCAATAGGTTTCATACAAAATTTAAAAACCTGAAAAGAAATATTTAGCTTGCTGAGGTATAAAGACCTTACACAAGACCTTGCTGCTATTTTTTTTTTCCTTTTTAAGTCTCTTAGGAGTAGAACAGAACAAAATTCTTACCTTCAACTATACTGGATTTAGCTAAAAATCCTGAGGATGTTTTTAGGGCTCCATTAAACACCACAAAACTTGCACCTGTAACTAGACAAAGTAGGAAGGAAGTCAGCACCACTTTGTGTAACTCCAGTCAGTCATAACTGACATTAAACACAATTTCACGTGACACCAGAGATGCATTTTGCATGCAGCTTAAGACTGAACTTCCACTTCTGCTGTAGAAATGAGATTTCTGTCCCCCAGAGCTCTTACCTTCCCTGGGCTGTCCCGTGGCACTGATGGCCTGGGTGTGATAGAGGCCCTGCTTGTTCTGCACACACACCAGGTGAGAGTCGGCCTCAGTATTGAAACTGGCTCCAATGCTGATTACGTGTTCGTTAGAGGAATTGATCACCTTCATCACCTGTCAACGCAACCTTTGTCATTACACTGATAAATCTCACCAAGAGGGGTTTTTTTCGTTGTTGTTTGTTTGGGTTTTTAATTTTTTTAAATTACCAAGCAAAACATCACAACCAGGAAATCTGAAGGAGGGAGTATTTGAAAACATGCTGGAAGATTTTGAGGAAACTGCAGATCTTTCAGTACTTAACAGCCATCCTAAATCTCA